GCCCCATCCCTGGAGGGGTTCAAGGCCAGGCTGGATGAGGCTTTGGGCAACCTGGGCTGGTGGGAGGTGTCCCTGCCCATGGCAGGGGGTGGCACTGGGTGGTCTTGAAGTTCCCTTCCAACCCAAACCATCCTGTGATTCTATACATCACGAGAACTGAAGAGCACCCAGGCAGAGGAGCCCCTCGCTGTCCCTCCAGGTCTCTCCTGGCCCCCCATCCCCATGCAGGAACGCGCTGTGGCACCAGTGGAACATCCTCCACCCACCACGGGACCATCCCTGGAGCAGCCAGCATCCGCCTGTCCCGGGGATGGGACGTGGCTGTCCCCTTCATCCTTGCTGACCAATGCTTGGAGCATCCCCGCCGGTCGGGGTGTGATAGCATCCCACCCGTGCGGGGTCACAGCCCTGCTCCGGGGGCAGGAAGGGAGGAGAAGCACCGCCCGTGGTCCGGAGCGAGCCGCAGGGGCCGAGGACGTGCCCTCCTGCCAGCTGTTTCCTGCTGGAAGCCCTTTTCCCTTGGCAAACCCTGATGGGGTCCCTGAGCCAAATGTGCTTCCAAACAACCCAAATCCTGCCTGTATCCATCTCCAGGGCCTGGATTATCCCGGTTCCCCGGATTTCCCTGGAGGCGGCTGCCCCCAGGCTGCTGTTTCAGCCAGAGCCAGAGGTTTGTCCTTGAGGTTTTGGATCCCGATCCCGGTGTGTGTTTAGGACGAGGCGATGCTGTCCCTAGGCTGTTCTCTTCAGACCCTCAAACTGCTGCTGGGGTCCAGCTGCCTGGGGAGGACCTGGCTCAGCTACGATGCTCCAGCTGCAAAACCCATCAGGGAATCCTCAGCGGAGCATCTCCTGGTGACTCCCATCCCCGTCTTCCTTGTGACATCCAGGCTTTTGTGGACACACTTCGGAAATCAGGGCTTGTGGGACCTGCCTGAACAGATGGCCGGGTTGGGATTTGAGCGTGGCTTTTGGATTTTGGGCTTAACTAGTGATTTCCCAAGGAACCCAGAGCTCTCTGAGCCCGTTCCCAGGCGAGCCAGTCTCTGGCAGGGCTGCGAGCTTCCCAGTAAGGGTGGGGAATGGATCCTGGGCGAGGAGGATGGCCAGGAGCTGTGGGGAAACAAAGATCATCTTTCCCCTCAAAGAGGAACATGAACCCCCTTGGCCTCAGCTCTTCTGCAAACTTCGCTGTGGTTTTTCTGATTGGCGGATTGAAAAAGAAAAATAGAGTCGATCTTGGCCCAGTGGGTCTTCTGGGCTCCTCGTGGGCTGGGTCCCGGCCAGGGCAGATTCATCCCAGCTGCTCGTCGCCTCTCCCAGCCCAGCCCCTGGTGGGACTGGCTGTGCTGGGATGTTCTGGAGAGGGGCCACCACCTCCTCATCCAGCCAGGGATTGGGGAAGGTGGTTCTTGTAGCCTGTGGTGGGGACCGGTGTGTCCTGGCTGCTGGAGGAAGGGGGTGGAGGTGGTTGGGTGGGGGAGGAAGATGCTGGAGGCTGGAAAGATACCGGAGCTTGGGAAAGTGCTGGAGTATGGGGTGGTGATGGAGCCCATAAGGATGCTGGAGCCCAAGAAGATGCTGGGACTTGGGAAGGTGCTGAAGCCTGGGACGATGCTGGAGCTTGGGGTGATGCTGGAGTCCAGGAGGATGCTGGATCCTAGGAAGGTGCTGGAGCCTGGGAAGGTGCTGAACCCCAGGATGATGCTGGCGCTTGGGATGATGCTGAATCCTGGGATGATGCTGGAGTCTGGGAAGGTACTAGAACTTGGGATGATGCTGGAGCTTGGGATGATGCTGCAGCCCAGGAAGATGCTGGAGCCTGGGAAGGTACCGGAGTTTGGGATGATGCTGGAGCCCAGGATAGTGCTGGATGCTGGGATGATGCTGGAGCCCGGGAGGATGCTGGAGCCTGGGAAGGTACCGGAGTTTGGGACGATGCTGGAGCCCAGGATAATGCTGGATGCTGGGATGATGCTGGAGCCTGGGGCGATGCTGCTCCCTGCTCATTCCCAGTGCAGAAGGTCTTGGCAGGCAGCTCTTGGGGGCCCAACTGCCTGCCAGTTAGGCTCAAGGCAAAATTATCGGTGTTTAGTTAATGCAATAACCCTTCCTGGGTTATCTGACTCCTGCCTGGCACTGGTGATGCTTGTACCCTGCTTCTCACTTTTTTTACTGACGTTTATTTCTCCCAGGGCCGAGCTGGTTTCAGCCCATCCCAGCTCTCCCAGTGCCTCTCCATGTACTCTCAGGGGAAACTGAGGCACGGAGAGGGGGAGAGCTGGCGATGCATCACCTCACAAGGGTCAGACACAGATCCCAGTAGCAGTGTTTTTTTCCCAGCCTTTGGCAGACTGGGAGACGCGATGGTGGGAGCTGCAAACGCTGGGATAACCCCGCACACACGTGTCCCTTTAAGACGGCAGCTGGGAACGAGCATTTTGCCAGTAAAGGCCCTTGAGTCAAGGCAGGGAGTAATTGCTGGGGAATTCAAACTGGGAAGGAGCCGGCAGGGACTTGGGGAGGAGGAGGAGGAGGAGGAGATGGTCTGTGGGGTGAGAGCATTTGGGAGATCAGAGCTGGGGAGAAACAGGCTTGGAAAAAAAACCAAAAGGGAGGGCGAGGAGGGGAAAGAAGGGAAACAGCAAGAAAAAAACCACCCTACAGACCATGTTTGGCCAGGGAGTGATGTTTGGATAAGATCATGTTCTAAAAATACAGCCTGTTCCCACCGTGGCTGAAGGAGGGGAGCCTTCAGCCCTGGCTTCCTCCTCCCGGCATCACCCGGGGACCGTGACCGTGGCCGTGCGAAGGGGCTTGGGAAGCGGCAGGGCTCAGACTCGGCTTTCTTTGCGGTTGGGTTTGTTTTTTTATAAAGTACTGTGTCTGGTCTCCTTTTTTGGAGGTAGGAAGCCAGCGTTGGAGGCGGAGCGGGGGTTCGGCCAGCCCCACTCTGTCACCATGTCCCTGGAAATGGGGCCAGGAGGGCTCAGCCCCATGGGTGTCCTTGGGGCCAGGAGCATCCCTGTGGCTTAATGGGGTCCCTCCATCCCTGGGGCTCCATTTGGGACACCTGGGGACACAAACCCCCTGTCTTGGGGGTGCAGCAGTGGTGGTACCCAGCTGCCCTGCACCCCAAAATATTTTGTCCTGTGATGCTGAGCCTTAAAAACGTGCTTGTCCCCAGGGAGGTGGCCCTGGGGCTGGCAGGCTGGGGGTCTCTCGGTGTCCCCAGTGCCCAGGATGTGGGGTGGGGGCCAGGGTGAATGGGCAAAGCTTTGCTGGCCATCTCCATCGGGATGTGAGGGGACAGCAGGATTTGGCCTCTGTTCTAGCCCAAACTGGGAATCGCCCAATTTTTACCCCCTCCCTGCTGCGTTCCCAGCGACCGGCTGCAAAACCCCGCGATGCTGAGAGCAGCCGAAGCCAGAGCTCTGTGGGGACAGCTCCATCCTCTCTCCTTTTCCCTCCAGAGCTGGGAAAACCTCCACAGCTCTCAGCCAGGGTGCTGGGGCCAGATCCCAATTGTGGGGCCAAGGACTGGTCCCTGCATCCGTCAGGGATGGGGAGGGGCCGAGCGAGGGAGACAGAGCCAGCCGTGGACAGGGTGATGCTTTTGGTGTCCCCAGCGCTGGGGGACAAGGAAGGGATGTTGGGACATGGGAGGAGGGCAGGACTTCTGGGCTCCATCACATCACGTGCAAAGGAACCGTGTGGGTGTGGATTAGTTCCAATGTATCGCCCTCCAAAGTGAGGGAGTGAGTAAAACCGCGGGCATCCTGGGGAAGCTGAGTCAAGCGCTTCCTCTCGCTGCCCCATGGTATTTTTAACGGGGCTGGTTTATCCGGTGCCCGGGCGGTTGCTGATTTATTTCCGTACCCCTGTGGGGTGCACGCAGGTGCTGACCCACCCAGGGACCAGCCTCCGCAGCAGGATCCAGCTCGGGATTTGTCATGGGATGGAGCCACGATGGGACCGAGCACACAGAGACCCCGTTTGTGATGCTCGGGGTGTGCTCCTGATCCTGTATCCCATATCAGTTTCCTTTTTCTACCTTTTTTTTTTTTCTGCTAACAGAGTTGGGGTTTGCTTTCTCACTCTTGCTCTTGCGGGAAGAATCCCACCCTGAATCTTATCTGCTGCTATTCCTGGGACATCAAGCAGGAGGGTTTATTTCTCGCCTTCCATGGGCTTGCAGCAGGGGATGGAGGAGGTGGAGCAGATCCACGGAGATGTGCCCCGAGCTGGTCAGCAGAGGACGGTGCTGGGGACAGGGCTGGCCAGAGGAGATGGTGGCTGGTGGGAGCAGCACCAGGTGCCCCGTAGCCCGTTAGCAGCTTAAATCGAGGGACTGAGCTTTTGGGAGGTGGGAGGTGGTGTGGGATGGCCCTTGCAGAGTGGCAGGGGATGCTCAGGGACCTCCTGTCCCTCGTGTCCCCACCCTTGCCCTGTGGCACACGTGCTCTCCGTCTTCACACTGGATTTTTGCTCCTCCTTTCCCAAGCAGGGCTGATGCTCAAAAATCCATTGCACCTGCCACACTTTGTGTTGGGAACGGGGCAGTAGGTCCTACAATAACACCAGCAGGCAGCAGGGAGGACGGGAATCCAGCTGGCAGCATCCTGGGCTTTATCTTTGCTAACTCCATCCCTCTTTTTCTTTCTCCATAGGTGCCGGGGCCAAGGTGGCCGTGATGGCCGAGGGCGAAGAACTCATCCTGGTGCTGGAGAAGAACCAGTAAGTGCTGGGGATGGGCTGGGGAAGGGGCACTGGCTGTCCCTGGCATGGTCCCACCTGGAGCAGTGATATCCTGGTCACCCTGTCCCTACAAGGGAAGGGACAGCCTGGTGTGGCTTCCTGCCACCTGCGGCTGATGTGGCAGTTTGGGCTGAAATGTTCCTTTTTTTTCCATTGCCCACACCCATGTCATGCAAGAAACAGCATTGGGATGATGCCACGGTGCAGGATGAGGCGTGGG